TGAAATCCTTGTGAAGAGCAAACCGCTTGTCAAACATTAGTGCGAGCTTTCCCTGAGGGAAGACTTTCTTTGAGCTGAGGGCTCACTTACTCCTGTAACTGCACGGTTGCTGAACCAAGGATGTCCTCCCCAGACTGTTGTCCCCGGCCCTGCTCTGCTCCCAGCGCAGAGCCACTACCGAGCACCCTGACACCGGGCTCCCCCGCCGCCCCAGCCCACAGCGAGTACGTTCATATTTCTGGGAAGAATATGCTCAACAGATGGAAGTTTAGTACTATTTTTACCATTGCTGGTACAGTGAATGTAGAGAGCATGATAATTGATTATCTGAGACAACAGAAATGCGCAGGAACTAGAATTTCAAGGATTAGGGTCTCCCCGAGGATTTCCGTCAAGTTTTAGTGAAGGGAGAGATAACCTTTGTGGTGGAAACGGAAACACGGCTTTCAGTTCCCATCTGCAGCCAGCCTCTGGAGACAATAGCATTAAGGGTGATGTGAACTTCCTCTGTTCATCGCCACGGGACGGGAGCCTCGACGCAGTTGTCTGCGCTTCTATAGCAACGCTGTTCAGCTTCTCGCAGCTTATTTTTTTGTCCTACCAGAGACGTCCAACTAATGCCTGTGTTTAACGTGTCTGGGGGTAACGATCCAGTGTTTCATCTGTTTTAAAGGACATTTATGGACATCAGGTGGCAATTTTATCCTGAGTAAGCAGGCTAATATTCTGTCACTCTGCATTACTCAAGTGGCAGTCGCTCTCAGAAAATGGATGTTATGTGTTTTCGGTTCAGAGGCATTAAACTTTTGTGGACCGAGCAGTAGGATTTTGTTGTAAATGCATTGTCCCATTTTAGTGGAAGCTTTGCGTTAACAAGTTCCATCTTAATAAATTACTCTGTTCAACCTGCTCTGTGACTTACAGTATCATAAGATCCTGCCCTTAATATTAAAATGTAAGCACAGATTTCCTTTCCCAAGGCTAAGGCTGCATAAAAAGACTTACACTGAAGCTGAGAAATCCTGTCTGGATCAAGATAATTTTTCTCTGAGAAAAAGGAGAAAGAAATATCCCTGCATTTCGGAGAGGAGGAGATTCTGCTGTAGATTGTTCTTCCTCCGTCTTGTTAAAAAAAGGAATCTTGACTTAATATATACTCTGTTTCCAAACTATTGGCATCTTTTGCAAATATAGGCTGGCTGGCTTATGAACAGATAGCACAGTTTGTGGAGCCAAAGATAGTTGTCATCATGCACTTATTAATGAGTACACATATCTCTGAACATCAAATGCTGTGCTATTTTCAGAGAGGTCCTTTCAGATCTTGTTGTCTGCTCTTTTTTATTTTTTTATTTTTTATTTCCTTGCCCTCCTGCCATTTTCCTTCAAAGCTCAGTGGTAGAAAGCAGAGAGGAAAGGGACCTGGAAAAGGAGATGTTCTCATCCAGCCAGCTTCCCCACGTCAGGAGCTACTCTGTGCATGTCATTCCTGACAGATGTTTGCCTAATCTGCTCTTAAAAAACTCCAGTGATGGGGATTTGACAGTCTCCTTAGGCAATCTGCTCCAGCGCTTTGCTGCACCTATCATTAAGAAGGGTTTCCTGATATCTAACCTGCAATTAAAGGGCACGATTTCCTGTGCAGCCCATCATCAGGCTGACCTTACAGCCAAGCCAGCAGTTTGCTCGCTAGACCTTCCTTGCCAGCGCTGCTCCATGGGTAACATGCTCCCTTCTGCCAGGAGTAGCCGGGGCGGTGCGAGTACCACCAGTTTTGTCGAGTGTCCAGCCCGGCATCCCACGGGCCGGCGATGGGCAGGTTTCCCTCTCAGATCCCATGCAGCTGACAGGAAGGCGGCTGCCTGCCAGTAGACGCTATTGAATTAGGAGATTCAGTAAATCCCGGGAGAGGTGCTGCCACAGTGAAGTTGCAGCAGTTCTGCGCTGATAAAACTAGCAGCACTCGCCACGGTCCCAGGCCTCAGAACCCGAGCCGAAGCCTTTTTTGTCCTGGAACAAAATGTGCTGTGAGAGCGGTTATACCATATACTGCATATATGCCATCAATCGCATCTGGCACTTGGATGTACATTTTTTGATGAGAGCATTTCTATAATGATTTTAGCAGTTTAAAAGCATTTTAAAAAATCAGAGAGATTACAATTTTGGCTTGGGTTTTTTGCCGTTGTTTTCTTTTAAACAATAGCACATGAAATACATCCCATGGCAGTCAGGCCTCATGGAGAAACTGTAGATGCCAACCTGCTGTGAGTGAGGTTCGGATGCTGGGGAGATGAGGCAGTCGCTTACTGGTGTGCAGCAGTGATTGAGAGTGAGTCAGTATAGATATAGGCATATCGTAAGATTACCGTGGCAAGATAAACTCTGAGCCACTTTTTAAATAGAACAGTGTTTCGTTCTGCAAATGATTTACAACTGGAAGATGGTATTAATGAATTCATGTAAAGCAGCTGGGGAAGTAGCCCTGACTGCTGAAAATAGGTATTTTTTACAATGGAAACCAGCTAGCTAAGCTAGCTTTACTTTTGCTGCCTGAGTAAATGATAGCAGTACATAGCTAAACTGGTTTTGAGACTAGGAATTTTTGATGACATCCAAAATTAAATAAAATCACGTTTGGATCAGTAGGAGGAGGGGCATGTTGCCGTCAGCAGAGGTGAACAACCTTTGTGCAAATGGCAATTTTGGTATGTGGGTCAAGGTCGATGGGGTTCTTCTCTATATTTTGACACATGTGCTACAAACACTCTGATATCCATTTCATTTTACAAGGTGTGTGCGTGCACCGAGATAACGCTCCAGAGGGTCACTGGCAGGTTACAATGTGCCAGCCGTCACGTGCGCAATGTCTAGAATAGTGCCAAGATACAATTTCAGGGGGCACCGATAGCATTCAGAGCCCTACATAACACCTGTGCCCCACGCAACGTCTCGCTAGCTCTGTCACTGAGCATCCCGTTGGCACCTGTGATCCCGAGCTGACAGGTCCGTTTCTATTTGTGCAAGGCATTTTTAAAGCATTCATCCCCCAGTTGTCTTCTAGATGAGCTGGGAGAGCTTCAGCTCAGTATTCCTTCATGGAGGAGAGGAAAAGACAAAGTCCATTTTCAAAAATGAGAACTCGTGGGGTTTTTTTACAAAACACGGTCAAATTTGTGCTTCGTATTCCACGCAGCATGGGAGGTAGATTTATTGTGTGAGAGAGGTTTCAGTTTCAAAGTAATAATTGGAAGAGTGTATTTAAACCTTTGTCAATATAGAAGTGATTTCAGGTGCTTAGGAATGCTCTGCCTCTTCCTTGTGGTTTGAAAGAAAAATTTTAAACATTTTCCAGCCTGCAGCTATTGAGGGCAGTGAAAGAAAATACCTATAAGCTGCTAGGAAACCTACAGAATAAACTCATTTCCCACTTCCCGCTTCTTGTAATAATCATCAGTCGTAGGTACTGCTCCAAACATGCTTTCAGACAAATCTTGCACTTTTTAAAATGGTGTTTTCTGTTAGGCAGAGTTCGCTCACACCCCATGCCAGAGAAGCAGAGGCCCAGATTGAAGCTTGCTGGAGTCAACAGGCTTTCCATGGGGTGCAACTCCTTCATGTTTTCCTAAAAATCCCCAGTGCTGTTAACTCACGGCCCCCCCTCGTTTCCCACCCCTTCTCCCCCGGGAGAGGCAGAAGCCAAAAAAAAAAAGCCGTAGAGCCTACAAGGTGTAAACATCTTTCATAACTGCCAACGCTGAAGAAGCCTGGGCGCCGGGAGTGTGACACACGACGACAGGCAGTTCACGCCGTGCGAGGGGGGCCGGCGATACGCGCGACCTGGCCCGGGCGGCGGGGGTGG